TTATAATTTTTTAATTATTTTAAACTAATTAATTAATTAATTTCTTTCTTTATTTAACACAATTCGAAAATGTGTAGTGTTGGTGTGCTTTCAAAGAACTAGGTTGGGAAACACCTAGCTTTAGATTTTTAAGATGTTCTGCACATGGGTAACACAAAAATGCTTCTTCAATGGCATCCCTGCGCAAGCAGCCTTCATTTTTAAATCCATCTCTGATTCTGTTGTGCTTCTCAGCGAGCAGCTTGCGACCGAGCGGACATCTGAGTTCTCCGTGGTGTGCCAGCCCTCTGTGGTCTCTCCATGCCTCCTTCTCCTCTAGACGACAGAATTGTGGTGGCGCTGCCAAGGCCTATACGACCTCAGGAACTCCGACTCCGCCTGGACACCAGCTACCTGGAAGCCACCGTGGGCACCGTCGGTCAGTCGACGGTCATCAGCAGCACCACCGTGGTGAAGATCCAGGCGACCAAGCTTTCGTATATGCCCTCGTCCAGCGGCTCCACGCGCTCACTGACGTGTGGATGCAGCAGTGCCAGCTGTTGCACGGTGAGCACCTACGAGAAGGACGGCCAGGTCAGCGCCAGCAGTCCTAACCTGAACTCCGGAGTGGGCTATGGCGTCCCCACGGAGGCCTACAGTGCTCCCAGTCTCACCTCCGGCCTGAGCAGGGGCAGCATGCGGGTCATCCACCCCAACGAACTGGCCAAGAAGCTGACGCATTGCCCGCTGGGCCACCCAGTGGGGCCGGTGCCTGTCATCATCGACTGCCGGCCCTTCATGGAGTTTAACAAGAGCCACATCCGAGGAGCCGTGCACATCAACTGCTCAGACAAGATCAGCCGCCGACGGCTCCAGCAGGGCAAGATCACCGTCCTGGACCTCATCTCCTGCCGGCAGAGCAAGGACTCCTTCAAGGGGATTTTTTCCAAAGAGCTGGTGGTTTACGACGAAAGCACGGTGGACCCAAGCCGGCTGACGCCGTCTCAGCCTCTGCAAGTGGTTCTGGAGTCGCTGCGGAGGGAAGGAAAGGACCCCATCGTTCTGAAAGGTAGGCCTGCTTTTGAGAGTGAAGGTTTGGAAATGTTTTTTCTTCCAACGTTTAGACTCTTCTAAGAAAAAAGATACATTCTAAAAAGAACGTTGAGTGCACTGTTTAAAATAAAGGTTCCGAAAGAGAACCTTTTTTTTTTAGAGACCGTTTTTTTCTTACTTGAACATTTAAAAAAAAATCTGAAGAATCTTTTGTGGAATGGAAAAGTTCCATGGATATGAAAGGTTCTTCATGGAACCAGTCAAATGCTCTTTTCATCCAACTTTCAGATTCCTGGGGGGCCGGATTCACAAAAATCTTAAGAAGAAAAGTTAAGAAATTTTGTAAGATAAATTAACTAAAAACTAAAAAAATATTTCTAAAAAACACTCTTCACTATGAAGAACCTTTTTATGGAATGGAAAGGCATGGATGTTAAAGGTTCTTCATGGAACCATCGATGTGCAGTGCAGGTGCAGTTCATGAAAAATTCTTAAGATGTTCTCAAATATTTTTCATAATATGTACTAATTTAGATGTATAAACAGTCTCAGCTTTACTCATAAACTAGAAAATAAGCAGTAAATAGCCTAGTGCTTTTCATTCTTTTCTCTTGTTTTGTGAATCCTCTGTCTTAACATTTGTGCTGCCTTTTTAATTTCACCAACAGTCATTTGAGTCTTGCAGAAATAGAACTAGCTGAATTATTCATTTCTAGAAATGACTCGTTATTCAACGCCTACTTTTTGTTTGGTTGGCGTATGAGCTTGATCTGAATTACTTCTCAAACATCAGTCTGTACTTTCAAAGATGAAGCCACTCTCAGACGTTTTTGAGTAACCGTATGGGATTTTCACTTTCTGAAACCTGTCGTGTAATCCTGGGCTTTCTTGATGTGTGTGGTGAACAGTGTTGGGCTAGATACTCACAAAAATCTCATATATTCTTCATTACTAGTTACTCCTTCCAGAAGTAATATTATTACTTTACTTATTACTTTCTGGCAACAGTAATTAGTTACACTACTAGTTACATTACTTTTCTTTCACGCCCCACAGAAGTTGTAATTGCATATCTTCCCCATAAAATTCTTCTAAAATGTTACTAACAATATATTTCTGCCTCATCATTTGATCAAAATCCACACTGGATCGCAGTCAGAAGTTATTACAAACACTCAATAGTGATTAATAGTGACATTCAAGTAGAAGTGTTGTATTAATCTCATTAATTGTCACGTGTAGCTTGAAGCTAATTGTAGCTCTAATTTCTCTGTTACCCATATACGATTATATTCCATAATGTATTTCATCAAAAGAAATCAGAAGAAAATGTTTCGTTCTCTAAAAAGATTTTACACATTTTATATTGGGATCAGAGGGATGTGGTTGCAAGCCATGTAATACCACAGTAAAGTTATGAAAATAAATCTAGGAATTATTGAATTGTTGGACTTCAATACATAATTAGTTACTCTACTAGTTACTGTAAAAAGTACTATTATTACTGTAACTAGTTACTAGTAACTAGTTGTTGCCCAACACTGGTGTTTGACACATTTCATCACAATGTCTTTTAGTCGTGATTGTACTCAAACGTTTGGAAAAAAAAAGTCTTTTTTTTTTAATGAAATTAATACTTTTATTCAGGAAGGAATCCAGATGGCAACAAAGTGACAGTAAAGACTTTTATTTCTGACATTTAAAATGTTACAAAAGATTTCTATTTCAAATAAATGCTGTCCTTTTGAACTTTCTGTTCATCAAAAAATCCTGAAAAATAAAATGCATCACGTTTTCCACAAAGAGATGAAGCAGCTCAACTTTTTTCAACATTGATAATAATCAGAAATGTTTCTTGAGCAGCAAATCAGCATATTATACTGATTTCTGAAGATCATGTGACACTGAAGACTGGAGTAATGATGCTGAAAATACAGCTTTGCTTCATAAAAATAAATTACATTTTACATGATATTATAGAAAACAGCTATTTTGAATTGAAATATATATATATATATATATATATTTATATATTTTACTATTTTACTGTTTTTACTGTATTTTTAATACAGCCTTGGTGAGCAGAAGAGACTTGTACGGCATTGCACTTTTGCTTAATTGTATAATTTGTAATAAATTGATTTAGCAACTGTTAATTGAATGATATGAGGCTGGAACAGTAGTGCTGTGAGGTGTGTCAGCAAACTAGCCAGACAGTACAGTAGTTGTGTTACGTCTGCAGTTGATCTGACCTCAGCTTGTTGACGTATGCAGGCATGTCCAGCTCCACCATGTGTGTCCGCGTGCCTGAGCTCCTGCGGCCCCTGGCAGCAGCTGACGGGGAAGAGCCAGCTCTATTCTAGCCGCGCGAGTCTGTTGCCAGCTTTTGCCTTGTTTGGCTGGCGTGGAGAGTCGAGGGACGAGGACAGAGCGCGTCTGTCAGCTGACGTCCCCTGCATGCATCTGCTCCAAAACCTAGGCTGGCATCATACATGCGTTCTTTTCTGATGTTATGCTTTCTAAGTTACCTTGTTTTGGACAAATTAGACAGATGTGACCACAAAACCAGTGATAAGGGTCAATTTTTTGACATTGACATTTATACATCATCTGAAAGCTGAATAAATAAGCTTTCTTTGTTAGGATAGGACAATATTTGGCGGAGATACAACTATTTGAAAATCTGGAATCTGAGGGTGCAAAAAAAAATCTAAATATTGTTGAAAAAGTTGTTCAAATGAAGTTCTTAGCAATGCATATTACTAATCAAAAATGAAGTTTTGATATATTTACGGTAGGAAATTTACAAAATATCTTCATGGAACATGATCTTTACTTAATATCCTAATGATTTTTGGCATAAAGGAAAAATGGATAATGTTGAACCATACACTGTATTGTTGGCTATTGCTACAAATATACCTGTGCTGCTTATGACTTGCATATGACATAATCAGTCAGGCTGCTGCTTTAGGAGGGCAGACAGTAAGTCAGCACACTAGGTTTTGGAAAGGAGCCGATATGTCAGCATACACACACATTAGGACTCTGTTCCAAATCCTAGTGAGCTGCCTTGCTGTCTAGTTCTAACGCAGCAGCCTGAAATGGAATCTCATAATTGGTTTGGAATGCTCTTCATAGGCTACAACATGAAAATGTGGGTTATGCATATAGCACTCCTCACACAATGTGCGGAAACCCCACTCACTATTGATTTCTATAGAGTTTGGTGTTAGCATGTTGTTAAGCTACTGATACAGTACTCGGAATCACTTGGAAAATTAATATTATAAGTACAGTTGAGGTCAGAATTATTGGTAAATATTTTACAATTTACTTTCAGTTGTTTTATTTAATGAAAGCTCAGATATTTGTGATTTTTTTCACAAACTTTGGGGGGGGAAATCTGCCAAATGTGTAAATATTATATTATATTATATTTTAGATATAATTATACAAATTATAATGTGTATCACCTAATATAATAATATATAATGTTGTATTTTATATTAAATAGTAATATTATATTATAATAATGTTTTAATATTATATGATAAAATATAAAATGTAAATATACTTATTATTATTAATAATACTTCTGTAATTATGGAGATTGCATATATTATAAAATGGTAATTTATAAAATTATCAAATATAATTGTACTAATTATAATTTAAAGTATCTAATTTAATAAAATGTAATGTATTTTATATTATATAGTAATATTGTATTATAATTAATGATGTTATAATTATTATTAAATGGAGATTATATTATATTATAAAATTATAAGACAATTATACTAATTATAATTTATAACACCTAATTTGATATATTAATATTTTATTTAATATTTAATAATTATTTATATTATATAGTGATATTATATTATAATTAATTATGTTATAATTAATTATGGAGATTATTTATGTTATAAAATGAAATGGAAATCATATTACATTTTAAAATGTTAAGATATAATTATACAGATTATAATTTATGATACCTAATCATATATAATGTATGATTATGTGTAAAATGGTCTTTTTAAAATACTGAATGAATCAATTTCTCTTGAATGAATTGCTTCACTGAGCTTGCATTGCATTCTGGGATTGTTTTCTCCAGGAAGGGTATATGCGATGCTAATCAGACTTCTCTGTCATTCTCATGCGCTGTGTGTGTGTGTGTGTGTGTGTGTGTGTTAGCGAGCGTATCACGGCTCTTGCAGAATGCTTGCACACTGTAAAAAAAAACTGTGACATTTACGGTAAAATACCAGCAGCTGTGGTTGCCAGAACTTCACCGTAAAAAATATGGTAGCAACATTTTAGGTTTTACAGACTTAACTTAAATTCACAATAAAATACCGTATTTCATTAACTGATGTAATGTTAATAAACCAACATATTGAATTACTAACATCTGTTTTGAACTATTGTAATGCACTGATAACCACCAAAAACTGGTGGTAATGGGAAAGTCACACAATGAACCAAAGTTCATCACAAACAGCTTTTCTACGAGCTGAGGAGGGCAATATTTATATATAGAAGGTGCACAGTCTCATTCACACAAACATTAAACCCCATCATGGTGACACACATGATACTGAAATAATGCAATAAACATTAATTTAACAACATTAGATGTAAGATTAAACCCTAATGTACACAACTGATAAGAAAAAACTAAGAAACGTTATTTCAACAACAAAAAAACATCAAATATGAAGTGTCATGCATGGAATTCTGGGAGTGTCAATTTACGGTTTGTCACTGTAAATTATACAATGACTTTTTCTTTTTCACTTCCAAAAAACTTATTTTTAACAGTATTTTACAGTAAAATTACATTAAATGTAATTACATTTATTCACCGAATATAGTATGGAAACTTACTGTTAACCAGTTAACAGGTTTTTACTGTAGCATTTTACAGTCTTTTACTGTTAAAATCACAATAATTTTTTACAGTGCAGATAAAAGCTGTTCAGACTGCAGACCCGCTGTGCTTCTGAATCTCCTCAGAGTCAATATTGTCCTCAATCTCATGGAGCTCTGCAGGAAAGGCCACGTATTTATTAATTCCTCCATCAATCAAAGGATCTTGGAAATTTGCGTAGGAGGTCTTGATCTTTAAAAACGAAGAAAAGATCTCAGTCTAATGCGAATTTGCTGTTTCTAGTCCTGCAATGCACCATTTGACGTTCGCCAGTTTGTGAGCGGCAGACTTTGAGAACATCTGAGCCACCAAATGTTGCTTGTGTAACGCAGCACTGTATCCTTGCAGACATTTGGCACTGTTGAGTTTTAACTATTGCTCTTTGAGATTAAAGGAATTAGTCACCAAAAAACAAAAATTTGCTGAAAATATACTCACCCTCAGAGCATCAAAGATTAGGATGAGTTTGTTTCTTCATCAGATTTGGAGAAATGTAGCATTGCATCACTTGCTCAACAATGGATGCTCTGCAGTGAATGGGTGCCGTCAGAATGAGAGTCCAAACAGCTGATAAAAACACCACAATAATCCACAAGTAATCCACAGCACTCCAGTCCATCAAAGGGACTTGTAACCCGAAGGTCATGGGTTCAAGTCTCGGTATCGTTGGGGGGAGTGTGTGTGTGTGTGTGTGTAGATTTCTCTCCTGATTCAGACCAGACCACTTTTTCACTGGAGGAAGCGTTATTATGGATTATGAACTCGGATTTTAGCTAAAAACATCTTAATGTTGGATTTGTTTCATCTTTTGTCTTCTCCAGATGTTAACTGATGGACGCAGTGAATGGGTGCCGTCAGAATGAGAGTCTAAACAGCTGATAAAAACACCACAATAATCCACAAGTAATCCACAGCACTCCAGTCCATCAAAGGGACTTGTAACCCGAAGGTCATGGGTTCAAGTCTCGGTATCGTTGGGGGGAGTGTGTGTGTGTGTGTGTGTGTGATGTTAAAGGAACAGTTCACCAAAAAATTTAAATTGGACTTGTGTGGATTACTTGTAGATTATTGTGATGTTTCTATCAGCTGTTTGGACTCTCATTCTGACGGCACCCATTCACTGCAGAGTATACATGCAGAATAATACATTTCTAATTTTGAAAGATTTCAGCAATAGCTTTTTTTTTTTTGTGATCAACTTTTTATTCAGTTTTAACACAAAATGTACACTTTGCTTTGTTATATGCCAAGTAGTATATATGTGACCCTGGACCACAAAACCAGTCATAAGGGTC